TTTGCATAATTCCATCCCAACAGTTTCCCCTGCCTGAAGGGGGTGATCAGACAAGTTGGCTTAACTTTCAGCTACAAGTGTCCATTCTTTAGGGATCATTTAGATTCCATTTTCTGCCCAAACTCCTTGATGGTGTCCGTGGCCTTGCCCGCAGCTTTTCCTATGGCTGCTTGAGTCTGCCTGCTGGTTTCTTCAGCAGCTTTGATAAGTCAGAGCAGAACAGAAGAGAAGTAAGTTAAGCAACAAATCCTCTAATATTCAGCTAATATTCAACTGGATAGAGTTGAATAAAAAATATTCAACTAATATTTTCACAGTGCATTCATTTGTATGATTGTCAAATATGATATTTCTCCACATTTCAAATTGTTCTAATAACCTGAGGAATTAGTTCTAAAACTAATTTTAAACAATATAAAATTTGCATTTTATTCATACTGTTATAATAATTCCAATATTTCTATTTTGACTGCATTCATTTTTACAATTCATGTTTCCTTTTAACTGCTCTGCTTTTATTAGCAATTAAACATTTAATTTGGCAGTAATATGACTGACAGCTTGTGTCTGCCATCCATGCCTCAGTAAACACCAACTAATTACAGTATATGATGCTAGAAAGAAGGAATGTGCGCCTTACCTTTGTTGACTGTTTCTTTGGAGGAGTCTGCCACCTGCTGCACGGCTTCCTCAGCTGCCTGCACTGGAAACGCATCACAGGTTTTTAAAGTGACTGATAGCTTTTAAACATTTTACTGCAAAATCTCTTAGAAAGAAAAATAAAATGCTGTATTAATTGCAGTACAACTCTTTTGATTCCAGGTCTGATGTCGATCGTATCACCTTGTAGCCACTGGTCTGTACCTGCAGTGTCTGTGACTCCTTTAGCGGCTGAGTGGCTCGTGCTTTTCAGGCCCTCAAAGGACTTCTTGAATGATGCCATGGCTCCTGTCTTTGTCCCTGCAGTTTCCACACACCCTTCTGACCTGAGAGCGGCAGGAGCAGCTGTTTAATACCCTCGGCTTGAGCCCGGCACCACCGAGCCTGCACGTTCCAGCTGGATTAACCAAAACAAAACCCACCCAAAGAGGCACGATCAGACTGGAATCCCAAATATGGCACCATTGTGCCAATGGCCAGAGCCTACTCAGCAGATTTTACACATCCTTTAATCAAACCCCAGACAAGAGTGAGCAAAAAAGATAAACATGCGAGGGCGACGCATAATAGATTCTTATTGAGGTCAACTTTAGAAAAGATTTAAAATGCGATGAGTGATCAGCGCAGTAAATGAGTTTGCACATTATAAAACAACGCTAACAAATGTGTGTTTTTTAACCTTTTATTTACAGAGGATTTGTATGTCTGGCTTAACATGTAACCCTTTATATTGACAAGTCCTGCAATTTAAAGCACATATTGATATGACAACCATTATGATTCCAAGACATAATATATTGACTTTAACTTGATAAAATCTTCAGTACACACAAACAAACACACACACACACACACACCCACACACCCACACAAACAAACGTGTACACTCTGTCAGTTTCTAACAGATAGTTTACTGGAATGATTTCACAAGCAATCATAAAGATACAATGTAAAAAACTCTTACTTCAAGAAACGTTCAAATTAAACTTCCAAAGAAATGCAAAAAGAAAAATAGAATTCCACAAACAGGCATTGTCGACACTTAGGAGGATATTATTGTATTCATATCTGCTTGCAACCGGTCATATTTATTTTTTACCACTCCCAATGTCTCATTGGAAGATGATGAACATCTATTGCACATTTCTAAATACAGATACACACAAGTACAAAGTCACAAGCCCTGGTTCTGGTCTCATTTCATTGGGAGGGAATCAAGGAAATGAGACCGTGAGGACAAATCCTACATCTCAATAAATACCTACACCCAACACATTACATTAAGAACATGACATTTACAATATATAATAATAAAAGATTTGTCTTGAAGGAAGAACATTTTTCAGTGGGAATGCTTGTCTTTTTTATTGTTTTTTTTCTTTTTTTTTTGCAACAGGAATATAATTGTAATAGTTTCAGCATTTGTCCTTTTTATTATTAGAAATATTATTGTGCTGCTGGTTGGACGGTGGCTTCGACTGATGCTCTTATGCTTCTGGCTCGTAGTCCTGGCTCTCCTGGGGAAAAGAAGAACAAGTTTTTTTATGAGGATGGCCAGTAAAATTTGCAGCACACAGAAGCTCTAAAGGTAAATCTACATCTAAAATAATATTCAGCTTTAATGTGATTTAGCAGAATATATGATACAGAGTTTATTAGTCTCAGCAGACGGTAATGATGTCACTTTGTTGAAGCTGAGCTCATCTGTTCCTTCAGTGCTTCTCTCAAGCCTGCAGAGGGCAGCACAACACTGCACTTACATCGAGGACGCGCATCGTGAGCACACTCTCCATATCCTTGCAAGCCTGCACACGCCTCCACCACACATGATCATAAAAAAATAAATAAATAACACAGCCTCCAACAGTCTTATGTCATCTAATGTATTCACAAAGCCTTGAGTGATACTGGATGACACAGATTTCTTTTCAGATCCTCCCAGTGATGGCTTCGTTCACTCTGCAGCACTCAGACTCCATATTTACAGCAATGCAGGGAGACCCTGACATTACCCACAATGCATGAAGGCAGAGAGCGTCATCACCACACCCATTCAGACCGAGCTTGCACACCGCTGGTGTAGCAAAAGATGGGGGAGGGGAAAGAGACACGGAGGAGTAGGAGGACAAGGATGATACACATCCGTGGAGAAATTCACTTTGAATTTGGATCTCAGGGAACGCCTCGGGTTTACTCCTTTTCCCAACTAGTGCAAGACTCCACTGATGCAAAGGACTATTAAAGTAAACACACAGAATATATTATTATTGGAAATCACATAAAATCTCAAAATAAATCTTATTTCACCCGCTTCAGAAAACGTATATATTCAGTGGCAATAACACAGGATCAGTGCTCTCATACTAGCACGATCAGCCCTTTGACATTATGTACACTGTATGATATTTTTATATGCTACCATCGCTATTTAAAATCTGTACTCAAAGCCATCAGTTCTGCACAGTTTGTCTCGCCCCTGACAGCCAAATTCCAAAAATAACCATCTGTGTCAGATTCACATACCTCCTTCGTGCACACGGACACACACCCAACGCTCAGTGAAAGTAGGTGGTGCTATATTCACTGTACTAGCTGCGTGGCAATTGGCTTGTTAAGTCCTCCGTTATCATTTCCACAGAAAGGAAAAAATTACCTCAGCATGAGCTGTAGTGTTTGTGTGGGACACAAGTGGAGGGCAAAAGTGGAGTGCCATTGAAATCCAATACAGCTAAAATGTGTATCCATGCAGAGCTCGTGAATACTGATGAACCTCAATCTACTGTAAGTGAATGGACTCATCTCTGCCTGATGTCCACTACTCCACAGTTTTTTTTAAAAAGGGTTTTACACAAAAATGATCTGTAATGTAATTATAGTCCAATTCAAAAGCTGATTCTTGTGATACTTTGATGACAGAGCAGAGCCATGTGTACACTTTGCGTATTGTAGGCTGATTACCTGCTGGGACTCATCATATGTCTCCCCTTCTGGCTCCAGCATTGCCTCTCCTTGGCCCTCCATGGCCTCCTGCCCATACTCCTCAGGCTAGAAAATGAGACAAACATAAAGAGATACAGAGAAGGAAAGATTTACAGAAACAGAAGCAATCATACAGATACGTCGTCATTAATACACTGTCAACCTATTTTTTTTACCATCAGGGAATTCTCAAAAATGACATTTTTAATGCTCTTTCAAGGCACAGTTAAACTGGTAATAATTAAATCATAAAACGTACTGCAAGTATAGCCGTACAGTACCATTTTTTCTCAATTTTGGTTTTCTGTTCTGCAAAAGACAAGGTTGAGAAAACTACATTTCTTGGTTTGTCCAATTTCTCAATTCTCTGAGGAGTCTAGAAATCACTTCTGAACAATTAGACAACCTTGTGGGATTTCAGCTAACTGAAGAGCTCTATGGGTGACACAATTGCTCTGCCTGACTCACTACTTTGAAACTTTTTAATGGACTGCAATAGAGTTTTCTTTAGATATTTTGTCCCCTACAGATTGACAGAATCCCATAAAAAACATCAATCTGAGTCATATGCTGTGCTTCATGAAACAACCCTGTGACAGTGTATTGAAGGTAAAAAACTCTTTCTGGAAAGTCAGAACCTTAATAATATAATATAATATAATATAATATAATATAATATAATATAATATAATATAATATGAAAGACTCCAACAAACAGCCAGAAGCAACAAACAGAACATTTGTCCTGTTAACATATTTAGCCAGCGTTTTCCGTGAAGTAGGGACTTGCTCTATTTTTGAGTGAGATTTGTTTGACAGTGTGAGCATAACATTTAAGAACCCTAAACGAAAATGGTGATCAACTGCTTGAAATGAGCACATTATAAAGAGTATATACTATATATGAGTTTGTGGCATGATTCTGACTGTAGCTTTTTGGCCATACAGAGCTGTTAGTATGGATTTAAAGTCTTGGTCTTGTTGCAAGTCTATTGCAGACACTGAGCTGTGGGACTGGAGTGTGAGGAAAAGGCTGGCACAGTGTGCAGATAGAAAAGTCCATTAATCTGTCAGTACTTCCTTCTTACGGAACCACCCCGCAGCAGCTTGCACAAACAAAACTGTCTCTTTCTTCCACTTAAAAGTGAATTTCAAAAAAGAATCACTTTCTAAAACAGCCCTTCTCGATGGTGGGTAGTAGTAAACTCACTCAAACAGGAACAAAACAGGAGAAAAATATCAAATTTGATGGGGACTATTTTCAGCTGTGGGGAACACACACCTGAGCGATACTTGTTTGTAAGATCAGATCATTGCTGTTTTGCTTTACCAGCAATAAGAAAAGAAATCTGTATAACACAGGTGTAACACTATGGTTTGTGTGGACATACGACATGTGATGAGTGCTTCTGAGAGCTTTCTTAAACAGATAAAGCTCCACTGAAACAAAGCTAGTGGGTCAGCACCACACATTTATTTTTAAACCCAGCACTAATCAAGTCAATTAGGTCAGGAAAGAACAGCCTGTAATCCTGTGTGCTGTATCAGGCTTGTTATTGCTGTATGCCCACCAACACGATTAGCATGGTCGAGGTTGCACAATGGGAAAACTATCGCTAGGACAGCCCTAATCAGATGGATCATTGCCTGAGAAAAAGTGAACATGAAATAGACTGTTTGCATCTGTATTTCTGATTGGTCACGAATTTTAATTCAGTCAAGGATAAGACAAGGCAAGGCTTTTATAAAATGTTATAAAATGTTACACCTGAATGGGTTGTGCAAGGGAAATTTTGTGATTAGAGGCCAACAGAGCCAAAACTGAACTCAAAAAGTAGCTGTGTGCATTTGATCACAGTGTCAACAGTTTAGCAGTCTGTTGTGAGGGTGCTGAAATGAGGAGCTTTATCACTCAGATAACGCCTTCGAGAAGCCTATTAGAGCAGGCTGTCAGATTTACTAGATTAGCGAGTCAGTGGAGAGGGTCCAGCTCTGAGTGATGAAGGCTTAGGACCGGATGAGGACCTCACTGTGTCACTGACAGTCTGACAGAGATAGACAAAATGTCAACATACTGACAGCGCATTTCCAGGTCATTAAAAGGGAAGGAAAACAATAAAAAAGAAGCATCTTAACACAGCATGTGCCACTCAGATGTCCAAACTTTGCTATAAGCAGGTTTCACCGCTGCTGTGTCAAGTCAGCTTGATTTTGTGACTTTTCTTGCATAATAATATCAGAGTGCCTAAAAAAATGATAAAAGCAGGGGATAGAAGGGGTGACACTGAGGTCAATGGGCAAGAGCATTCGGTGATGTTAGTGGGGGTAGGGCATTAATGGAAAAGCAGTGTTTGCTTTAAGAGAGGTGATAGTCCCACAGAGAGATTGTTTCTGTCATAAGACACCTGAACAGTGATCTGCATCCTTAATAATCATTGAATGCAGCTCTGTGTGCAGAGCAGACTGGAGAAGTCCTCTTCAATGAAATGAGTATATAGCAACAAAGCCCAAGTCTATTTCAGTCATGTCCAGTTTTTTTCTTTTATAATAACTGTATAAAAGCAATTGCCAGTGTAGTATTCATCCTCAGCAGATGGAAAACTATTCCTCTAAACCAAAGACACGAGCAAACTCGTGCAGACAGGAAACATAAATTTAGTACAGTGCATGCTTTTGCTGACAGCAGCAGAATGAAACAGTCCAAATGCACACTAGTAATTCTGTTTTGAAGTGACATGCAGATTCATCAGATTTGACCCTGCTGTCTAAATCTGGCTCTGCTGTCATCACGATCCTATCCAGGCTTTTATGAGTGCAACTTGGCGCAAGTTGCCAGCTCTAATTGAGGCATACGTTTGGAACAGATTTTTGTTTTCCACTTGTTTTCCGGCACATGTGCAGACCTAAATAAAGCCGGTCACTTATAAGAGTAAGTTGCTGCATTGTTAGCGCACACTGGGTAGTTTGTCATAATATGAATATCTTTAAGAGTGCACCCTACTAGTAATGCACGTTCAGTTTGATTTACTCATTGAATGCCAAACAACCTGTAAAAACTGTACAGAATCCTTCTAAAGATATCAAATCTCAGCTTGTGCTCAAAGGTCAAATTTCCATAAAAAGCCAGTTTTTCAAAGCAAAGTTAAGTTGGCAGACATACATGGATAAGAGAATGCATCATAGGAAAATTGAGGCTTCCGTACTTTTGGACACTAGAATGATGTCTTCTGCTTTTATTTTCCTTTTTTTAAGTCCAAGTCTCTTAAGTCCACCACTATTGTAGAAATGAACTGCTGTACTGCAACAATAAAGCTTGATAAAGAATAACATAAAAAGTAAGGTATATCATAAATAAATGTTTTAAGTGTATCCTATTAATCTTATAATGGATGCCTTCTAAATGCAAATGTTATTTTCTTTTTTTTTTTTTTATGCTTTATTTTGCAGGAATTATGCAAGCTGAAGTTTTTTTTTGTTTTAATGAAAAATTTTTTTTAAAGACTTATGACATTCATATAATAGTTAAAAAACATTTTTTTCCACCACTTGTTGTAATGCAATACTGATCCCACATAAGGCAACAATGCTGTACTCCTAATTCAAGTTCACAGGTAATTTATTTCCTGTGTGTTTAAACACTATGCAGTGCTGCTATTCTGCCTCACTGCAGGCAACAAAGCAACGTGTTACACTGTAAGGACGTGCAGCACATACGTTCATGTCAGCTGGGAACTCGTCCTTCTTCACCAAGCCGGTAGCAGCGACGATGTTCCCGACAGCTCCGGTGGTCTTTTCAGCCACTGGAGACACACACACAAACACACACACATAGTGAGAGAGAGAGACAAATGCAGATAGATTAAAAAGATGCATGACTGTGGTCCTCCGTTGCTTCTTATGTCACTACTGGACATAACAACCACTTACACATGACAAATTAGCCGTTTTCCAGTTATCAGTAGTATTTTACTACTGTAATGAAACCAGGCTTCGAACTCCAGTTAACAGAAATTTAAAGAGGTAACGAGCAGATGGGAAACTCACCTGTGCCCACGCTGTCTTTGGCCTTGCTACCTGAATTGAGAAAAAGCAAACTGTAGTCAGAAAAGGCACAGATTCTTTTACAAATAATTAACTATTTGAAATTTGGAGATTAGTTTTCTTCGTGTGAATGTGTGTGTGCGCATGCATGTGTAGGTGCTATAACTTTACACTTCTCTGATGCTAATAACAAAAGCAATGCAACAAATGGCTTTAAATGAAATCATCAAAATGATTGTCAAGTCTGAATCTGACTGCCCTTATTATTTGTTAAAATTTGTCATTTTTAAGCGATGTACTTTTCTTTACTACTGAAAAGTAAAAACAACAACAACAACAACAACAACAACAACAACAAAACAAAAACAAAAACGAAGAGGGCAACGTCTCTGCAACTAGGTAAGCTCAGTGTTTGCCCAGTGATTGCATTGATTTTTTTTTCTTTTTGCATTTGGCAAAATAAAAAAAACTGGTGACCAACTGTTAAACTGTGGTTGTGTGAAAACCCTTAACTTTTGATAACATAGCGATTGCACAGATCAGCTGGTGGTAAACAACCTCCCTCCAAACAGTTGTGGTGTGACTCAGATTGGCTGCAATCGCTCTCAGACAGATTCGCAATTGTTTGCAAATCATTTTTTATCTATTTAATAAAAGCAGGCAGATAAGCAACATGCTGCAATCAGCACTGATGAGCGCAACTCATCTGCAACACATCTCTTTTCAGTAGGGCACTCAACCCAGCTGACCGTACTCTGTATATATTCCTATACAGAAGCAATCATTCGTATCATTTTGCAATTAAATCATGGTTCTACAGCAATTACATCACTATTTGTGGAAGATTCTGAGGCTCTGTGTTTGTACATGGCAACAGAGGTGTGATTTTTGATTGTTTATTTGATTTAATTAATTATAACAAATAAATTGCAAACAGTTGCTAACTTGACCACATTTGCAAACTAGCAGCACACTGACTCCCTCCTGTTCCCTTTTTATTGCATCTTGATGCACCAAGATCCCTTTGAAGACAGCAACTGACTGCACCTGGTCGTCGACGCAACTGTTGCAAAGGCAATGAGATCACAGGTTCACTGCACATGTTTGCACTAATTTGGTCACACTGCAGTCTCCAGCCACTGTTTTCCTACTGTGAGTGTAGCATTATCCACCTGATAGCACAGTTCCTAATATACTGTTGCTCCAGTGCTATATGTCGACATGACAAAAAGCTGCAGTAAGTTCCAGAGTCCAGAAAACCTCTTGTGATAAACTGAAATTGAATTAACATGATTACATTTGGACCATCACCGCCAACCAATTACTTTTCATAAATACTGTAATATCATTTTTGTTTATCTTTCACTGTTTGCCTCAGGTCCTGGAGAACAGTGGTGGCTACAGTAGTCGGGCTTCTTGGTTTATTGTAAGGACTTATTAAACCACAACCAAGCCACTGTTCAGTCCTCTGATCCATATTCTTTGGCAGTTGTCATCCATCTACACGCTGTACTCCATCATGCTATTGGGGCAATCTACTGCAGGCCCCATCCAGTTCTGATCACTCAAGCCCTGTCATCCTCTTTATTGTGCAACAGTCAGTGGACTTATTGGTCCCCGAGGGCCTTTAAAAACCAACAAAAAAAGAGCAGAAATAATGAAGTACAGAAGCCACTCTTCAAAAGGCGAGCCTCAAAGCAAAGCATACAGTACATCTGAGTGATGCCTCCATTTAAGTTTGGCTTTGGTAAATTGCAGCTATTGCGCAATGGAGCACAAATGGAAGATAGCTGCAGGTGTGATTGCCAAATGATATTAGAATTATTATTCTTCACAAACTGACTTTGGATATTTTTAGACTACGGATTCAACAAAACATCTGCAACATTTTCCATCATCAGAAAAAAAGGGTTGATAATGATTTCTTGTAGTGTTTAAGTAAAAAAAAGAAAAGAAGGATGGAACAAATTAGCACTAATGAAATGATATAGTTGAAACCGATTACAGATAAACGCTATTTTTTTGAAATGCAAATGTTAGCAAAAGCGATAACTGTGTAAACTAAATTTCCATATGGTCGGACTGATGCTGTGTGACTGCAAGGGTCTGCAAAATAAAAACAGTTTTTAATGTGATGCTGTAAAAAAATACTAATTTGTCATAAAAAAATAGGAAACAGATGCTTTATGAATAGCATCCTATACTATAGGGGTTTCTCTTTCCCACCTCTGCTTGCCTTTCTCAGCCTGACTGCTCAGTTCAGGTGGTTGGGTGGTTTGCAGCTGCAGCAGCAGTAGCAGCTGTCAAAAGGTGGGCCACAGTCCTATTAGATCACTCTTACCCCTCCTCCATGAGGGACTGTCAAGCATATCACATACAGCTTTCTAGGGCACCACCATATTCAACAGCGGCATGTAGAACCACAGAGACACCACAGAAGTGAGCCTTTCCTGCCATTGCGTTAACAAGGACATGATGAAATTGGTTCTGCACATGTTTTGACTACAGTCTGATACGTTTGGTGGTGCTGATCAGTGACAGGGACACTATGCTAAATGTGTAAGATAATGAGATTCCACCGAAATGCGAACACATTTGACAACCTGTGCTGGATGTGTGCTCGATGTTGTAACCCATCATATTGTTGCGGAATCAATTATACAAGCTGGTGACTGTAAAACAAGCAGGAGGCCTGTCACTGGAAATTTGGTTCCTCTCACAACAACTCAGCAGCTGACAAAATAAATTCCAAGCAGGCTTGCTCCGCGTCTCCTGAGTCACACTGATCTCCCGACTAATACGTAAGTAACTATTTGTCATCACAAACAAGATGGGGAAAGTTGCAAATGAAGACTGCTGAAGTGCACCTGATAAATCAATTTGTCGATCAATGGAAACTCATCAGCAACTCTTTTGATTAACAGCGCGAGTCACTTGTGGCATCCTCTACCAGTCGTGAGGATTTGCTGCTCTTCTCATCTTATGTATTCACACAGAGAACACGTTCTGGTTTTTGGTATGTTGATTAAAAGAAAGCAGCCAATCTGAAGACACCAATGTAAATTTTAGAATAAAAGATCATGGAAACTGTACAACTCAAATGAGTAAAATAAGAACAACTGCTGAAAATGTGACTTTTGATTAATTATTTTGAGACATTAAATCATCAGATAATCAACAAAAATGCTGGGATATTAAATCTTAACTGACACCAGTACATAATGAATTACACTGATTACTTGAGTAATTTATTAGCACTACCTTTACAGCATAACAGAAAATGATTTAAATGTTTTAAATGTTGAGAAATACCGTATTATCACCCTCCATTGCTACATCTATTTAATTAATGATTGAAACCAAGTGATATAGATTGGGTTAATGATGCAAGCTGCATACCTGACAACTACACTTTAAATCAGCAGACAGATTTGCTCGTTAGTTGCAGGCTGTCAATGACAAGTTAGCCAGCACTGAAAAACACAAAAAGCAGGCCTACTCCTCCTAGGGTCTGTTTGTCCCTAGGAGGAGACTGCTGACACTGTTTTACAATCTGCTGCTATCCAATCCACAGGCATGTTGCAGGAGCTGCTCCCACCATCAGCTGCCCCACCCCCACTCCTATTTCCATCTCCTTCCTATAACCTAGACAGGCCACAAGGACACCCAGATTCCTTGTATCACACACTTCTACGTCACAACGAAATACTTTGAAACAGAGTTCACTACTATTATTCTGCTGAAATTGAGAGTCAGGGCTGGATTACTCATTTTTGATACGCTGTGGTATTTTACACCAAATCGGCTTGCAACATTAGAACAAAAATATTGATCAGCTCAGAGGCTGGCTGGTTCATTATACTGCCGCCACTCAAGTGAACGACACTGGATTTATCAAAGGAAGGCACTTGGATGCACTTTCTGCACACAATGAGCTATGAATAGCTGTAATATTGTCCCCTAACTGTGAACTGAGAACAAACAAAGACAAACATATATAGGCGAACAATGCGTTCAGCCTCCTGCTTGTTTGTTTCCTGTATGAGAGATTTACACAGCTAGTAAGAAGAGCTACTGTATAATTCAAGCATTTGATTCAGGATGTATACTGCATGATCTAAGTCATAAAATATTCCTTGAGCTTTTCTACAGCTGCTCCTGCATGTAGCGGGACGATAACAGGCGTGTGTACAATTTGCATGCAAATAATCTGCAAGCATACATTTGTGATCATCTTACCTACAAACATGACTCCTTCCTTTGTCTTTTCAGCAGCAACTGCAACTCCTTCCTTGGTCTTCTCTGCAGCCACAGCCATCCCCTCTTTCGCTTTAGACAAACCCTTCATAAACACATCCATCTTGGCCAAGCTACTGTGGAGAGAAGCACCATTAGCTGATGTTAGTCAATGTGCAGCCTTTGTCTTATTTATATACATTTAAAGCCTCATTATTAATACAGGAGGGTAATTATTTTATTCCCATCCATTTTTTATGAACCTTTATATATTCCAGTCTAATATTAGAGCATACATTATGAGAAGAGAAGGCAGCACCGCCTCCTGTGGTGGATCGTGACAGCCACACTCCAGCCATCGGGCTGTAGTAAAAACCTTCTGTTCACTCATGCATTCAACCCCATTTTTCTCCCCCTCACACCCTCCTCGATGCATGAAATATTCAGAGGTAAAAATATTTCAATGAAATGGTTAACCCAGCAGGCAACTCATTAATTATTGCTCGTCTGTAACGCTACTCTTAGTAGCAGAAAGATGACAGGATGACTGCGCCGGGCCCCCTTTTTTAAAGGACTGCACGGCGTATTACGATAGAAGGTGGCATCTATTTCCAAGAGCTACATGGCGTTGCTGGGGGAAGGGAAACGCGGTGTAAGATAGGATTTCTGCACGAATAACGGTTTTAGCGACGAATTGTGTGGTGTGGAAGCGATACGAGGCTGCCCGATTACACGCGGGGGGCACATCGCGATGAAGCAGACTAACAGCTGGTATTCTTCATTCTGGCATTACACACGTCCCTCCGAGTCCCATCCTGGATGCTGCAGGTCAAGGATGCAACAATGATTAAAATATGCACCAGTTCACGTCGACCGATTCCCACGTTCACATTCCGCCCCTGGCTTTTGTGTCTTTTGTACGTGCATTATCTTCCACGTACAAACAAACAGTACACAGAAAAAAAATATCACGATCCTTACTAGTATTATTTTTTTTTATGCATTTAATAGTATTTCAAGCACGGTGCAAACATTCCAGTGACGACGCTCACATACATGGCTCTCAAACGGAGGTGACCTCTATATGTTCAGGAATAATAATAATACTGGATTAAGCAGTAGAAAAACGTGTTCTTACCTATTTACAAATAGCCTTCGACTTGTCCCCTTCTGATACAGTCGAGTCAAACTACCGTCTAAATGGGAGATATCTTCAAATGATCACTAGGTGGGCCTTCCTCGGGCAGATCTCCACCAACAGGGACGGCCCCCTTCACAGTGCGGCTGAGACGATCACGCCCCCCCCCACACCCCCCTCCCCCTCTCCTCTCTCCACCATTGCCTATTGATCCCCTCATGTGTCACAGCAAGGAAAAAAGGGCCACTCCACGTCACCTCGCCCACTTTTTTTTTTGCAATAGTTACACCATGTGTCATTAGGACAATAAATACATGAAAATCTACGTTTCTTCTCTGGACAAACTACATACTCTGCTGAGCATATCTATCTATCTATCTATCTATCTATCTATCTATCTATCTATCTATCTATCTATCTATCTATCTATCTATCTATCTATCTATCTATCTATCTATCACTTTCTGTTTGTGAACTTTTATTAAATGAAAAACTGCTAGAGCTCAGTTTTTCTATAGCTGGTCTCCATTTTTGATTTAACTGCTGGAACATCTCACCTTCCACTTATCCAAGAGCCATTCTGACTTGTATTAATACCCAGTTAACAATCGCCAGAATATGTTTTTAATCCCCTATAAATTACACATCTTTAACATAAAGAACAAGACAATATGATGCAAATTTCAGTGGATTAAATAATAACATGGCTAATCAAATACAATTTGAAAATTAAAAATTAGTTATATGTTAAAAAAAAACAAAAAAAAACCTTTTGCTTATCTGTTGTTTTTTCTACATGTTAAGCAGAGGCACCATTGGCTTGTATATTTTGGATGCAATTAACCTGCAAATTTAAGAATCTGCCATAATCTTACCGGAAAATGGTAGGTTTGACCCATTTTAATATATGAGCTTTATATATAATATGTCGAAATATTTCTTATGCAATGTGCATGCCTTTGTACTCTTATTTGTACTGTTTAAACTATAACATGTACCCGAAGTGTTTTATTTGCTGTACTGCACACCACAGTCTGGCATATAACCATTTAAAATGCCTTAAGTGACAAATGTAACCACATATTGTGCTTCATGGATTTCTGCAACTTCAGCGGTAACTGTTTTCTGCATTCAGCTCACTTACAGTAATCTCAGATTATCTCAGATAGATAAGACTAGACTCTTGTCTGTAATCTAACCATTTCTTTGGCATATTGGCATGCTATGTGCAACACGAGTGTGATATCAGGGTGATACCACTTTGTGCGAGAGGTAGGGGTGGACGGATTCATGGTGATGCTTAATGAGATCGTGCCCTATTTACCAGAAACATAAAGAATAAAGTTAATGATATTCTCAGAAGTAAAACATTTTTTATGTAGAACTAATTACTGTGAAAAGTAACTAAACGGGACGACTATCACGCGTGTCTTAGTATAACAGTTTTTTCCCCCCATTTAATTCAATTATTTTTTATTTTATCATGGATGTTCGGATTTTATGACTACAGCAAAAGATTCTCAGCCAATCAGAGTCACGATGACCTCAGATGGACTCGTGATTTTCCTCGAGCAGTATATTATATTTAGGCAATTCACAGGCACAATTTAGGGGGGAAGGGGTTAAACACCACCCCTCCCCTTTTACCCCCCTTTCTGACGTATTTGCGCTGACGCGATTCATGTTGTAATGGGAGAAAGATTGCGAAATCCTCCTCCCCCTTCTTCATCCCGAGAACCCCCCCACCCCCATTCTGAGGAAATCCCACATAGCCGCATCTCTTTGAATCGTCCAGCTCTCTCACGTTTGTTCTCGGCTGTGGCTTGTGTGAGAAGGTGACCCATAAAGAGCCCGCAACGCATAATCAAACAGTAAGGTTATCTCCTCCCACAACTTACGAACTACACCATTTAATATGCGATCTACTCCTCAGTTTTAAAAAACAAACAAATAAATAAAATCCTGTCCTTATGTTCAAGAGTCACGGGACGGTGCTGTCCGTGGTGCTGAAGGGAATCTCTGTCCATGGTGCTGAGCTGCTTCAGTCAGTATTGACACAGCCCCGGAGGACGTGGTGCAACATAAAAGAGGATATAAACCCCCTTCCAATCATCCACAAACAGACTTCAATAATTTTTACATACAGTTAGCCCAGATGTCTTTTTCTCCATTTTGCTTTCAGCCTCAGAGGCTGAGCAGAGGAACTCACATGTTGGTTTCAGCACATGGCTGTTTGTAAATGTAAGCCACATCTGCCCTCTTGTGGTCTTAAGGACATTTTCAGCAGCAAACATCTAGGCTGTAGGAATAATTAGCATGTACATTTAAAATAAAAGTATGCAAGCAAGTTACATTCAGCATTAACAGTTTGTTACAGATCACTGGAAGCTTTTAAAAAATTGTTCTGGTAAAATAGATGTCACTCTTTGGTGTGTAAAAATAAAAGCTTAGATTTTGCAGTTCATGTCCAAATATCCACAACAAAAAAGAAAGAAAGAAAGAAAGAAAGAAAGAAAGAAAGAAAGAAAGAAAGAAAGAAAGAAATCCAGTTCTTTCAGGTAAATCAAACCAAAGAATTAAGGTGGCTTTTTTTTACACTAAGTGTTTATAACAAGAGAACATGTTGTTTTCATAATACAGTTTATGCAGTTACATCTGTTTCTATGGCTTTCTACTGGCTTCATGCATCACAGCCACTGGACACAGCTGAGCCCCAAACACAGAGAGCAGCACAACTTGAGATTCATCTCTTCAAAGAGAAGACGGTCTTGTTGGAGTTGGCAGATTTGAGGCAAGGCTCTTTTTTTTAAAGTCCCTGAAGGCTTTATAAAAGTTACCAAATCAACTGACACAGTCAATAAAATGCACAGAGAGGATTTAAGTCAGGTCATATGGCTGATACATGTTTCTTATAACAATGGAGGTGATCATTACTAACTAAGTATGTCAGTACTGATCATTTAGTGATTCATATACACTCATATACCTTCTAAAATGACTCATCATCAATCTAACATGTTTGGTTCATGGCTATTAGCATCCAGCAACTGTTATTTCATGCTGACTTGACAGATTTGGTCTGTTGTTGCAATAATTAATTATTTTTAAATACAAAAGCTAATCAGTGCCGCTTGAGCTGTGATGCTAACAGATACAGTCAGACTGGGACTGCGAACAGATTTCACATCTGTGATCGTGGTGACTAATGACTGTAGGCGTACTGTTAAAACGGATGCTGAGATTTAAGACCTGCCACTCAACCATACAGGAAAAGACACAGATGCCCCTGTCGTTTAAGCTCACAATAAGGTAGGCACAATGACATTAAGAACTTGTCAATTTCAGTTAATTTCTTTTTTTTAAAAATTAAAATATTAACTTTTAACATGTTTTTCTTCCACAATTCTTACTTGTTTTGTTATGGACTGATTTTCATCCCGAAAAGCCCCCCCCACACACACACACACACGAAAAACCCAGATCAACCAAGCAAAAAACAAAACAAGACAAAACAATAGAACATATAAAAGAAAATAATTACCCGATGTAGGACCTTACCTGGGTTTTTCCGTGTTTTGATTACTTGATAGCAAAACTGATGCAACTTCCTAAATGACGAATGTATTATTAATATTAGATTTCTGCAAATTGAACCAATTAAAGACTGAGTGTGAGGGCTTGTACATCTGTGATCTGGAGTGAAACCTGAAGATCTGGGTTCCCTGGGAAGCTGTCTGTTTTGCTTTTTTGTTAATCCAGCTTTGCTCAGTTATCCCAGTAAACACATCACGGTTGGATATACCCCTGATTGGCTCCCCTCAGTGAAAACTTCTGAAAACCCTTCCAGTTAACAGCACTTTAATGAACAGCAGCATGTAAAGTCTCCTCTCGGTAGGTTTACCGTATTTAAATAGGAGGAGCTTGCTGTTTGTTGCTAATAAGGGTCCAGTGTTCAGCTTTTGTGAACATGTTTTTTTCCAATCCATTTAACAAATGCCCCTTTACTACACCACATTACCTCGCACGACACTTTCAAGAAAACAGCTCTCATCCTTCGCTGCAGTTTATCTGAATTCAGAATCGTGGAAATTGAATAATATCTGCTCCTTAGCCTGTAAATGTTGCAGAAGACATGCTCACTGCTCGCAGAACATTGTGTTTGTACAGCTTTAGTGCCCACAAGTTTATGTGAATGAGTAGCAGGCCGTGTTTGAAGTAGACTGTGCAAGCGCTACAGACCCAGCAGGCCAAAAATAAAGGTGACTCACCATGCGTTATATCCTGCGAAATAAATTGTGACATAAAATGTTCTCTGTGTGCAGCTCCAAAATCGCTAGCACAGTCAGATTTCTCAGCCTCAGTGGGCAGCGGGCCTTTCAGCCCCCAGTGAACCCGGCTTCTTTACGACTCCAGCTCCTGCACGATGCTTTTCCTTTTACAGAGCCATTGAGTAGAGTCAGTCAGTCACGGCAAGCATTATATAATTCTAATCAATCTAAGTAATAAAATGTTGACATAGACTGAGGCCACCATGCAGTTGAAATTTACAGCTGTTTAGACTGCAAGTCATTTCCCTATGGCATGCGCCTACATGCTGCATCCGCCTTCTCAAGCTGAGTGAAAATAAAAGACTGCATGTGAAAGTCTTCAATTCTGAGTTTTACTCCTTCTTTGAAGCAGCTGTGAATGACTGTGTACATTTACCGCATTGGATATTTTGTAGTCTGCCACAAACTGTCAGTAAAAAAAAAAACAAGAAGGGTTGCCGGGGGGCCCCGAAGCAAAAAAAAAAAAGCTTGATGTTTTTAAGAATGATGAATAAATCCACGAAGCAGAGTGGCAACACCTCTAGGTGGCAGCAGAGACTGTTTGTCTTCTCAAGGGCTGTGATTACTATTCCCGGCACTAACCAGGGAGCATATCAGCTCAGGACATGCATGAATCGATTCATTCTAATGTATATGCGCCGTTGCAAGGAATGAAATATTTCCTTGTATCTGCCACTCGTCCTCGGCAGCCAGGGTGCGCAGCTGTTAGATGTGGCAGCGATGCTGCTGACATCACCTTGAAAAGCCTTGGCTCTCGGTGTCTCACATCTGCATGTGTAAGAGCAGCAAGTTTAGCGTCAACATCCAAAATGGCACAAGATAAACTCTTGCCTCA